TGTCCTGATGTAGGAAACCATAGGAACCATGCATTATTATTTGAGAGTTTACCACATTTGTAGCTATGAGCGTGCTAACTGCAGCCAGTAAAATCCTCACTGCATGCAGCACATGTTGATTTCATTGTTTTTCAATTGTTGAATGCTCTGCTTACAAATGTCACAAATGAGCCACAAAGAAGCCGTGCTCCCTAAACTGTATACCTGGAGTCTGTGTGCTAGCAGGGGAGCAGTCACCATGGAAACCAGTTGAATGTTCCTGCTAATTGTTCTTTATATAGCACCATGTCATTCTATAAAAGGAATGGAGTTAAAGCCAATATTTTGGAGCACTTAGTGACATGTGAGGTCATCGCTGACAGCGTGGGGGGGCAGCAATCTCCACACCCCCTTCCCTATGTAATGTCTGAGCAATCATGTAGGATTTAAAAATGGAAAGTGTATAAAATCCTGACTTGCTTGCTTTGAAACCCTACACGACTAACATTCTATGCAGGAAATCAAATTCCCTGACCAGCTTTCATCACATGCATGCTTTTCGTGGTCCGTTTTAACCCATTCACTAAACGAAGTGCGTATTCCCTTCTCCTCTGCTGTGACTGAGAGAGTTAATGTCATACAGATTTCATGTGCTTTGAGCCTCCCAGATTGGCGAGTACAGCGTGCTAGTAGTTCCGATAAGGCCTTCCACGCGTTTCAGTCTGCGTTGCCAGACATTGCCTGGAAGTCTCTTAAACAACCTCAAATAACCTTTAGCCCAGTTGGATCGGTTGAGCATCGCAGGGTTCTGCCTCTGCTCGCCAGCAAAATCCACAGTTTGAAATCATTTTTGTAACGCCTTATTCTTAAATTACATCAACTGGCATCCTCTTTGGTCCGTGTCATCAGCACGTTGTGTAAAACGCAAAGCCTAACCTCGTCAAACAATTGCCCATTTACAAATTGGACATATATTTATTTATAAAATATTTTACCAGGATGGATTTTTGTTTTTTGCCCAAATTATAATATAATATTTAAACCAAAAGAAAGCGGATTGCCCCATCTATTCTTATCTGAATTGGTCTGATCATTACAAGCAGGATCCCCTCCCTATTTTTATTTAACATTTTCCACATAGCCCAGAGAATTTGTGTTAGTAATTGTCATTAGTGAAGGTACCAGTTAAACAATCACTTTAGAGCACACTGAACATTGCACGGATGGTAATGATATTGTCCGATAGGGGGGTTGGACATGTAATTTTGGAGTGATGGGTATGGGAAGAAAGCGTTGGTGCTAGAATTTATATCTCATTGAACCAGAGAGAACATCACATGAGACCAGGAAGGAAAGTGAGCTGTGAAGGATCAGGGAAGGTGTTGCTTAATAGTTGGGTTTCAGCATTGCAACTGTGTGGCAGAGTAGGTGAAATTAGGGAGTTTTTCTGGGATGAAGTTTATGGGGAGGAGGTGATGTAATTGAGAGGGAAGTGAAGTAGAACAAGTAGGGGCACAGTGAGTGGAGAATGAGGGGGAGATGTGGTGAGGATTCAGGGGGTGATGGTTTAGAAGAGCCGAGGTGGCAGTGTCAAGTGAGGCGAGCAGGTTTGATGGGGAAATGAACACTGTGAGTGTGAGGTTGGATGGAGGTATACTGGCAAATAAAGAGAAAGTAAGGTAAGCGTCTAGGGAATGGGGAGGTTTTTATGGGGTATAGCATCAGTGAGGAGGGATAAGGAGGTAAGTTGGAGAGGTAAGTTGAATAGAGCAGGTGGATGAGGAGAGGTAAGGGGGTTATATGCAGTTAAGGAATGCAGTGTTGTCCTATGCGTATTAACATTCTCTTGTTGTAT